AAAGTTATTATATAACTTTATTAGAATATTTAAATAATTGTTAAATTTTTTAATCTAAACTTTCCTTAGATAGATATAGATAAAAGTAGGGGAGAGGATAAATAGGAATTAGAGATAATTTAAGAGAGAAACTCCTACTAAATTAGAGATAATTTGAGAGATAAATAGGAATTAGAGATAATTTGGGAGATAAATAGGAATTAGAGTTAATTTGAGAGATAAATAGGAATTAGATATAATTTAGAAGATAAATATGAATTAGATATAATTTTGGAGAAAGTGGGGGATAGTGAGGGGGGGAGTAGTTTAGGAGAAATTTTAGGAGAATAGATTATTTAGGTTATTGGGAAAGTGCATCTTATTGGTTGTTTAAAAAATGGCATGAATAAAAAAATAAAAAATTCAAAAAAAGGAGAAAATTTCTTGACCACTTTGTTTTAATATATATATATATATATATATAATAGATAGTTAGATAGATAGATTTTCATAATATGTTTTATATTCTATAATATGTGTGTATTGTGAGCTCCAAGAAGCTCATGGCCAGCTCAAAGGATTTGGAGTCACCACTCATTTTTTAGAGGAAATGGGCCATCATTTCAGGTTTGAAAATATCGATTTCAGGTCTTTGATAGTGACTACGTCCTCCATGGGAAAAGCATATAACCAAGAGATTCGGGTCCCAATAATTGGGGGAGGAAAAGTATTAGGCACCCCTCTCTCCAAGCTGTTGTAGTAGCCTGATATGGGAGTTATTCAAACTCATATTCTTTCGGGGGAAAACAAAAATGGTTGCAAGAATTTCTTAAATCTGGAGGAACATGCTTTCAACTTCTCATATGACTGATTTTGAAGTGATGTTATCGGGTCTTAGGTACTGATTTCCCTAAGACCCTCGCTTCTCTACCTCTACTCTCAGTCAATAAGAAGTTAAAAACAATGGTTCTTCGACATTTTAGAATCTCAAGCAACCCAGAAAACTAAAAAAGAGGACTTACCTGTTTGGTATGTGCCTTGACAAGAGTTTTCCAATAGCTAAAATGACTTCAAATGGAACTTGAGTAAGGCAGGAGTTGGGCTGAGGGATTCTGGTGTTAAGTTTAAAATATAGGGAATGAGGTTTAAGCTTGGCTTCGGGGATTAAGCAGAATGAATGAGTTACAAAACAATCTCTCCCTTCTCTATAGTCTATTAAGTTGTCTCTTTCTAGGTCTCTCTTCTTCGTCCAGCCCCCCCCCCCCCCCCCCCCCCCCCTTCTCAAACTCGAGTTGGGCCTCTATGAAATTCGCTCATCTATAGTGTTTGTGGCTGAGTAGAGTTCTTTCACTGAAATAGGCAAGATTCTTTCAAAGAAATGGGTGTCCAATCAAGCTTTCTTATTTGGTGAAACATTTTCTTCGATTTGGGGGTGGCTTTCCTGGGTTTTATGCAGCCAATGGGAGCTGAAGGCATATTAGACGTTGCAGTCTCGTATTTGGGGCTATTAGTGGCAAAAAATATAAATTTGATTAACTTTTTAAAGTGCTTTTGTCTTTTCTTGGTTATAAGTAGGGGTTTGTTTGGTATTTTGGATTTTTTAAGCCTATTTGGCTCTGTTTCATTAGTCTAGGTGTTATAATGGGTCAAGAATGGGTCTGACGTCAGTCATCACCCATATAAGTCTTCAGGTTGGGCCAGATGACATGGCGATTTAATCTGGTGCGTCAAAATGGCATATTTCTAGTTTATTGGTCAAATGTGCGAATCTGATCATGAAAATTGTTGTCCTAGGGTTTTTTGGGTTTTTGAACACAGACCGTTTATGCTAGTGATAAAGTACATAGACCCATAGTAGTGAGAGGTCGAATGATTATGGGTCCCATGCATTTTATGACTGGAGTGGATTCACAACCTACCAAATAACTATTGCATTCAGCTAATCTTATCATTTAACCAAAAAAAAAAATCATATCCCCAATTTGGTTGGGAGACACATGGGTATGGAGAGAAAAGGAGTGAGGTGGAAAATCATGTCTCAAAATATTTCAAAGAAAGGATCTAAATCCAAAAATGGTTGTTGAGTACTTGAGTTGGCCAGAAAGGCCTTGTGTGAATATCATGATGCAAACCGGTGTATGGTGAATCTGAAAAACCCAATAAATTCGATATGGGTCAAATGGTACTCTCCAAGGGAGAGAACCATCAAAATTAATTTTGATGTCTCAACTAAAAGATATGGTGATTGTACTGTTGGATGCATCGCAACAGAACATTGACAAGGAACATCGATATCACATTTCCATCAATGTTGTTGAATGCAAGGCGGCATTTGAAACTCACAAGATCATGGTTCATCTTGGTCACTCCAATGTATGGTTCGAGGGAGACCTAACGATAGTAGTTTGCAAGTCAAGGATCGTCCTCCATAGAGACGCAAATATTAGTGCAAAAATGTCTCAGATTGGTTAAAGAAACAAACATTTGCACTTCCCATTCACACACGTCGAGGTAAACAACCCCGTTGTGTAGCCCTTCAGAACATATTAAAAAAATTGTAGATTGGTTGGGCAGTCCTCCTCTCTTGACCTTAGTAGTTGTGGTGGATTCCCTTTGGAGCCCACTTTTCTCCATTAGGTTTTCTTTACTTTATTGTAAAAAAAAAATGAAAAAGATAGGGGTTATGTGGGACCTAGTGTCAAGAGAAAGGGTTTCATGGGGCTCGACATTAGGGGAGAGAGGGGTTTGTGGGTTTTGTTTTTAAAAAAATTCAATAATTTCATTTTAATGAAAACAAATTATTTTTCTTTTTCTAATGACTATCAATATTGTAGCCCCCTAGCTGGATAAAATTGTTTATTTGAAGACTACTATATCTTCACCCCTCTCCTGTAGTGAATACTTAGCTTTAAGGGTGATCATTAAGAACAAAAAAAAAAAAACTAATCGAATTGATGAAATTGAATAGGTCAATTTGGTTTTAGTTCAGTATTTTTTGAAAGATTGAAGGTACTCGTTCAGTAATCAATAGTTAACTAAACCAACTTGTGTGTTTGTTTATATATACATATTATATATATTGTGATGACCCTCCAATTACGAACTGCCACGTGGTGCCCGAAATCGTCTAATGACACCTCGGCATCACATGTGGCATGACCTTACTTGAATGGTCATCGACATATTGGCTTATGCCACCCAAAGTAACTTTGACCTTGCTTAGGAGTAGACTGGTAGATCGGCTTATAGGACCTTTACGATGCACATCCATTAATTGCTCTGAACACTGGACTACCTCTTCGACCTGGGTAACACGCAAACTAAGGTGTCACGCTAACCTCAGGATAGCTTCGACCTACGTGGCAGGTCTCTCCTTATTTGTTTGCACCACCTAGTGCCCCCAAAATGTCCATGGACACGATGCCCACATGGCAATGGTAAACTCAATACCTTCCGCTTCGTGAGGAACCAGGTAAGGACCACAACGACGCTATATTGGCGTTGTAAGCAATGGACGAATAAGGCCTATCACCTCCGAATGTGGTGAACACGCCTTGATTGAGCTTCAAAGTCTATATAAGGGTGACCCTCACCCTCAACCCTCAAACGGTATGCTTACACTTCTACACATTTACTATACTAGCTTTCAACTTTGATTCTCTACCCACTAGCTCTCATTCACTTCGACAGCTAGGTACTAACTTGACTCTCGTAGTTACTTTTCCCAGATCATCCTCATAGGCTCTTTAGTGTGTCTGATCTTGCTGATACAATCTGACGACCTCAGTTCACATCATCCAAGCTATATTTGCTAGTAGGGACTGATAGCGATTTGATCATCAATTTTCATATATATATATATATATATTAGATTATCTAAATATTATAAATGAATATATATATTTATAATATATTGTTTATTATTTATAATATAATATATCATATGTATTCCTAGTATTTTTATTATATATGTTTTATATATTTATAATATATATTATAAATATCAAAAACACAAAAAAAACGATAAATTGAATAGGTCAAAAACTGAACCAAACAAGTGCTTAGCCAATTGGCTTTGGTTCAGTTTTGGTTCATAATTTTTAAAAAACCGATAGTATCAATTTGGTTTTAAAAATAGGCCTATGGTTCAATTAACCAAACTGTGAGCACCCCCTACTTATCTTTTGTTTTATATAGATCATAAAAATTAACTCCAAATAATGTATATCATACATGGCTAATACTTTCTTGAACACATGCATATCACTAATGAAATAGCAAATGAACACTCTACTAATAATGCTTAGGCAAGTTTATAATAGCCCAACGTGATTTTTCTATTACTATTTTAATGTCAAACTGATGAAAGGGTGTGGTAAACAAAGGGGCCAAGAGTCACACCAGAGGTTATCATGGCCCGACTTAGTACCCGAGTCCATGACAAGGTCCATAAGGTTTGGGCCTTAATCTTGGGACTGATTGAACCGGGCTTTGACCCTAATATGTAATTACATGCATTATATCAAAATATAATAATTTTATAGATTTAACTATAATGTTAGAAAGATACGCGAAAAAGTACGGATAAGCCCAATGTAAATTTTTAATTTTCACTTCTGACCTTGGCTGAACTGTCATTCTCCCAAAGACATGATACCAGAAAAAACTTATAAGCAATCAACCTTCTCTTCAAAATGGTAATCAAGTGGGTTTTAATCAAATGGTCAAAGCCTTTCCAGTATCACATGCAGATTTTCCCCAATTTATATTATTGACATATAACATGTGAATAAGATATTGTTAAAAATATAAAAATATTTGATATAATAAATTACACGTATTTTTATACTTATATAATATATGTATATATAAAGTATATAATAATGTATAAATATATAGTGTGCTGAACCGAACTTTTTTTATAGATGATGGGCTGGACCGAACTTTGAGCGGGGCTTGAAATGTTGGCACAGGCCCGGCCCAGGCCTAAACACAAAATACTGGCCCAAGCCAGGATTTGCCGCAAAAAACCAGGGTAGGCGGCCTCTGTAATTTGCCGCAGATACGCTCCAGCCTCCAGCCTGCAGATCAAAGGCGACTGAACCAACCTTTTCTATTGGAGTTGGGGTTTCGACAAGCGTGGGGCGAGGACGAGTAGAGGTTTAGCACTAGGGTTTTAGGTGGAGGAAGGAATTCGCTCCAACACAGACGACCATGGCGAGGTCTATTAGGTCTTCTGCGACTCGTCTACTTTACGCCCTGTGCACGGAGAACACTCTCTCCTCTCTGTCATCCTCATCCTCGCCTTTCGCGGTTATCGTACTCGAAAATGGCCAACGGCGGGGATTTTCTGCTGGGAACTTGGCGCGAGCGAAGGAAGATAAGGACGCTTGGTGGAAGGAAGCCATGGAGAAGCTTCGGAACATCGGAATTTCTGCACATATTGATTCCGGCAAGACGACGCTCACCGAGCGGATTCTATACTATACGGGAAGAATTCACGAGATCCACGAGGTCAGAGGGAGAGATGGAGTTGGCGCAAAGATGGACTCCATGGATTTGGAAAGAGAGAAGGGGATTACGATCCAATCTGCTGCTACTTACTGTACCTGGAATGGTTATCAGGTGCATTTTGTTTGTTGCACTACTTCGTTTAAATTGCTTATAGTTGATTTTGATTTTTTTTCTAATGCTGCGTTATTCAGTATGGTTTTAGAGCAATCCAGTCTTCTTTGATTTGCTGAATTCTTTGATTATTCTTGGAGGTGATAGTTCGTTTGACGGGGTAGATCAGAAGTTGGATTTAACCCGTTATGTTTTAGTATGAAATAGAATGCCGGTATGCCACCATAATTTGCTTGATTTATGGAGTAGATATATTAACGAGATCGAATCAGATCAGCGTTTTCTATCCATCTTGTGATTGGATTTTTAGTTGATTCTGGAGCTCTCCTATACGTACACATGCCAGTCACTCATACGTAGTGCACTTCTATGTTATCAACCATTGCTTATGCTTTTTTTTTTGCCCTTTCTGTCTTGTTGTTCAAAATATACATTCCAATCATCTGCCGTGGATACTGGAAGTTAGAGCCAACTGTCCCTACTCCCTACAGCCGCAGGCCTTTCTCTAAGCCTCTGGAAGCAATTGTGTTACGATCCATTTGTCCCATATTGGTAGTATGGGATGCTAATGTGAGGTATCCCACATCGGTAGTATGGGATGCTGTTGTGGGTATGTATGTGCTTGAGTTTTCTCCCTCTAACAGTTAGGGGTGAGTTCTCCTAAGGCGCATAACAAATGGTATCAGAGCCTACACTATGCCTCCCAGTTGCAATCGTGCGGCGCAGGTGGTGATGTCGGTATTGCAGTGTTTGGCCGGATTAGGTGGACTGGTGCAAAGCAAGCCTGTGTGGGTGCCGGGACTGCAGAGTGTGGTGGAACGTTACGATCCATTTGTCCCATGTTGGTAGTATGGGATGCCAATGTGAAGTATCCCATATCGGTAGTATGGGATGCTGTTGTGGGTATATATGTTCTTGGGTTCCCTCCCTCTAACAACTAGCTTTTAGGGGTAAGCTCTCCTAAGGTGCATAGCAAATTGCAAAATAACTCTATGGAAATCTTAAAAAAGAAAAGAAAGTAGAGAGAAAAACCAATAGAATATGAGAAGTCCTTGCATCCCCGGGGAAAAGTGGAGTGAGGAACCTTAACACTGTGAGAAAAGTAGCACTTGGTAATAGGGCTGTCAACGGACTCCAAAAGGCCGATACCCAATTTGACTCCAAAAGTCCGATACCTCAGATTTGGATGTTAGAACTTGCATCTGATTAATAAATCGGATGTGGATGTAATCCCATCCCATCCTGTTAAAATCCAAGTTCCATAGTTGTCAAGGCGCCTAGGCGGTGGAATTTGAAAGTATAAAATAATGTAGCGAGAGAGAGAGGGGGAGGGAGAGGGAGAGAGGGAAGGGGGTGGAGCCCCCTTTTTGTTCCCAAAAAATATTTCTTAAAAAAGAAAAACAAACATAGGAGTTAGAGGACATGGAATAGAGAGAGAGAGAGAGGTGAAGCCCCCTTTTTGTTCCCAAAAAATATTTCTTAAAAAAGAAAAACAAACATAGGAGTTAGAGGACATGGAGCAAAAAAGAAAAATAGGAGTAAGAGACTTGGACTGTGTTTAAGGTGGCGGAGGCCCTGTTTCATGTTTCGTCCAAAAAAAGCATTATTAAAAAATAGTGCAAAAATATACAGGAAAGTTTAAGAAAGTTGGGGCCGTAGCCCCTGTTTAAGAAGAAGGGGGCAGAGCCCCTGTTTTGTTTCCAAAAGTACTTTTAAAGAATTATAAAATAAAATACTGGAGTACCAGGGTGATTTGAGGAAGGAGGAGGAGGAGGTTGAAGAGGTGGAGCCCCTGTTTCGTCCCAAAACTATTTCTAAAATAAGAAAAAAAGAAGAAGAAACTTACTGGGAGGTCTTGGATGAACTGAGTCCTCGGTTTCTCCTCTCACTCTTGGTTCAAAATGCAAACCCAAAGAAACTTTCATAGCTTTAGTAAAAAAAGATTTATCTTTATAAAAAGTTCTAACATACAACAGGATGTATTCTAATAAAATAAAACCAACCAATAAAATGATACAATATATAAAGAGGCATTCAAAAAATGATATAATGTGTATATGCATGAGCGCCTAATACGAAAAACACTTGGCGTTGGGCAAGGCGACTTCTAAAAATCTCCTAGTCACCTAGGCATCACCTTGACAACCATGCCAAGTCCAATAAAAAATTATATACATATACATTCATTTATATAAAGTTTATAAATTATAAATCTACTGTTTTATGTTTATATACATTTCTATACATGTATAAATTAAAAAATAATTAGTTTTTTAAACTTTTTAATTTTTTTGTCATCTTAAACACAATAAGATGGATGCAGATTAAATCTGAATCTGATATATCGGATTTTGTGAGGACTGAATCCCATCTCTTTTATCATTCACTAGCCAGCTCATCACCACCTTGGAGTCGTCTTCAATAATTAGCTTTCCAACTCCCAATTCTTTAGCCTTTTGCACCCCCTAAAACTACTGCCATAACTTTTGCCCCAACTGAATCTACTTCTCCTATTGGACCTGCATACATCGTACTTATAATTCCATTGTCATCCCTTACTCCCCCAATTCCATATAGCCTAGGATTATCCGAATTACTTCCACCAAAGTTCAGCTTCATCCACTTTCTACCTGGATGTATCCAATCCCTTTTAATCTTAGGGTCCGTTTGGTTCATGGGAATAGGGCTCTGGAATCGGAATCGGAATGGCCATTCTGATTTATTCCGATTCCAACTGTTTGATTGGGTGGAATTGGAATCTATTCCCATTCCTGGTGGAATGGCATTCCTTTCCCCTCTCTTGGGAATGAGAATCCATTCCAGCTGATTCCAATTCCCATCTGAACCAAACAGGTGGGAAAATAGGCCATTCCAATTCCGATTCCAACTGTGAACCAAATGGACCCTTAGTTCTTTTGATAATGAATCTGCAATTGGGAATGAGAATCCATTCCAGATGATTCCGATTCCCATCTGAACCAAACAGATGGGAGAAATAGGCCATTCCAATTCCGATTCCAACTGTGAACTAAATGGACCCTTAGTTTTTTTGATAATGAATCTGCAATTGCCTCTAAATGTGATGGTATCAATTACTGCTTTCTTGCTTCTTTTTTCCCCACAATTCTTGCAATACTTTCTTCCCATGATGTTCAAACCACTGCTGCTCTTGTACATTTCCACAGGATTTTGCCTCTTCTTCTTGGGCACCTGAATACTATTGCCTCAAATAATCTGTCCAAGCAAGAGGAGGATTCTACTTGCATCCAAAAAGAGCAAGAAACCAATCCCAAATACAGCAGACAAATGGACAGGATATTTGTAGGTAGTATGCAGTCTCACCATTCAGTTTGCACATGATACACCAATTATTAGATAAGTACCAAATTTGTCTCTTCCTTTGCAATCAATCACAAGTATTAATATTCCCATGGAAACAATTAGAACAACATAAATTACTATACTAAATGATTAAATGTGCAGATAAATAATTTATGCATATAACTTCTCTTTAAAGTTCTAGGTTCTTTATCATATATTACATATGTGAAAAGAGGAGTTCCCTGAAGTGTCCATGGAAAGTAGCTAGCCAGTTGTGGATTAAGTGACTTTTGCAGACCTCCTTTACGTCATTAGGAATGGGGCTTGTTTATTTCTTCTTGGTTAATAATTTTTCATCAGGGACTTTTTTTATAAGTAATTTTTCATTAGTGTTGGACTTGGCAATAAAAAGATACAAGAAAAGAAAAGAACCAAAGAAGGGTAGATTTTTTACTGTGAACATCTAAGCACATAGATCATTCCATGTGTCTAATTTCTTGCTTTAATTTTTTGTTCTTGAGTTGTAGATTCATATATCGAATGAATTGTATCTTCAGAGGGATACCAAGAAAACTGGATCATATGGCTGATACTTTAGCTAAATCAAGGATGGGGAGGGTTTTTTGCATGGTTCAAATTCTTTGCCTATATGATTCCCTGGGTGATTGGTCTTTTTGTTTTTGTTTTTTTTGCTTCATTTTACGTCTTCTCATGCACATCCTGACCCTTCTATTTTTGAAATGAGTATTGCCTTTTCTAAGATAAACATTTGTTCTTGAGTTCATGCAACACTTGTTGTTGATAAAAGAAAGTAGTCATCAATGATGATCTGTATTTGAATTTACAATTTATGCTTGCGGAAATTCTTTAAGAGTATCCATGCTCTAGTTCTTCAATATTTCAGTCAAAAAGTTGGTAGCTCTAGGTTATATGGTAAATCCTAAGTATGATTTCCTGCCTTTCTATCATTTTTGCAGTTTTTTAATCCTAGTTCTTCAACCATTCTCTTTCCTTAATATTTAATATGCTCCTGTATCTCCATAAACTTTCATAAGTAATTCCAATTTCATGGAAACTAAACTGTAGACTGAGATGAGGGGCATTTGGTGAAGGCTGAAGTCGCTGAACTTAATGGCTTATTAGTTTAGTTATTACTTTGCCTTTTGGTGCATAAAATGGTCTTGTAATAAAATATTTATGAGTAATCAAACCAACCTTCCATTAAGCCATTAAGAACTCTTAAGTCTCGATCCACATAATTTATCCACCATAATATAAGGCAAATCAATCAGTCATTCAGAGCGATTTCATCTGTTATAAGAGGTTTCTAAAATTTGGAAGCATTCTTCTTAGGGGTGCAAGTCAGGCGGTCTGGGTGGGGTTGAAGCTTAACCCATGCCCAATCCTAAGAATTGGACCTAAGGCCTGAGCCCAAGGCCAAGCCTAAACTGTCAAACCCGGGCCTGGCACAAACTGAAATTTGATGCACTTGGGCTTGGGCCCAGGCCTAGGCTGGGTTCGGGTTGGTCAATCGGCCCATACTAAAATTTAATATAAATGTATGTACATATGTATATGATTTATAAAAAAAATGCATATATTTATGTACTTAGGCGGGCTGGGCTTGGGTTAAGATAAGGTAGGGCCAGGCTTGGGCTAGGTTTGGGCTACCTAAGGTCTGTGCTCTGGCCTGTTGACTGAAAAATAAAAAAGTCCAAACTTTTGGGCAGGCCCAACCTGGGAACCGAAAACCCAAGCCCAGTCTGTGTAAAATTGTGGGCTGGGTCAGTCCGGGCCCGCCCAAGTTGCGCTCCTAATTCTTCTGTTCGTGTCAATTCTGCTCCTATTGCATACTAAATTACTAATCCATCTTCACTTTTGTGGTATTTAAAATTTAATTCTTTTACACATTGTTGTGACCTGTTTCTTATCTAATACACACATAGTTGTCAAGGCGTTGCCTACTAGGCGCCCAACTCGCTCAAACGCCTTGACTTTTAGCAACTAGGCATCCTTCTAGGTGACTAAGTGCCTGCCTAGGCGACAGAAATGACAAGGCGGGCGTCTTTTATAATATCATTTATATTGCTGTATCTTATTAATGTATGTGTTAATACATTTTATTATATGCTATAT